GAAGTAAAACTTACAAAACACCATATATCTTTATAAACATTTTTCAACATTACGAATCTTAGATTTATTTGATTTTTCTACTACATAATACGATTTAACCTTTCGTTTATTTACCTTATTATGCAAATTCTGACGCAAACTTAGTTTTCGTAATCACGAACGGTACTGACCGTGTTTTTAATATTTTTACAATTCTCTACATTTATATTTTTCTTTATTCAATTCAATACAAAGTCAGGCTTACAGTTTTCACCAAAACGCCTGACTCGTTAACACAAAAACATTATTGAAATTATTATGTACTATTATAACATTATGCTAAAAATAAATTTATTTTTAATAAAGTATCATCAAAGTACATAATCTCTGTAACACTGCCATAGATTACAGTATAGGATAAATATATTTTAAAACCTTTTTTTTATATAGCACATGATGATAACGGTATACAACTGTGAACGACAATCAACGGGGGAGTGCGTAATAATACTTTAAATGATGTTCCATTTGGACCTACACATACATACAGTGGGGTACAGCGGTGGAGCCGACACGACTGTGATTTACGCGACGTTAGTCCCAAATACACCTCTCTTTATGGGCAATTTCGGAGAACTGCAATTTATTTGTCTGACTGCGTGCAGATTGTAATCTCAGTTTTGTATTTATCAATTCGTTTCGGCCTTTGTATGTAAAATTGTATATGTATTACTTATCTTTGGCTGATGGGCGTTTATCTATACATATAAATAAAATTAGAGCGTCTCTTTGTAATATTGAAATAACCGCTTTTTACTACATGCCTATGAATATATATACGGTACATACACCAAAATAACATTTTTTTACAATTTTTGTCTGTCTGTCTGTTTGTTTGTTTGTTCCGGCTAATCTCTGGAACGGTTGAACTGTTTTTGACGAGACTTTCACTGTTAGGTAGCTGATGATGTAAGGAATAACTTAGGCTACTTTTTAGCTTCGCCCCGCGGCGTCACCCGCGGTACGACAATAAGCGCGGGTTTCCCAATAATAAAATTTAATGTTTCCGAGACGAAGCGAGGGCGGGTCGCTAGTAAAAAATATAACTTATATTTTATATACATTTTCAATCGAGATTTTTTTTTATCCACAACATGATTAACTTGATTTTGTTTGTAACAAAAAGACTAAAACTCATGTTACAATTCAATTCCACTTTTGACGGTTTTCTGTTCTACATCGACTTAATACCTACCTAAGTACCTACAGCAAATATTTACTTGTCTATATCGTCTTCCAAAATATTCATTTTATGAGGTTCAATTTGAATAGTTTACTCTTTACACGTCTACGAACTTAATTCGACTATTGTTATGATCTTGACAAGGGAGGCACGTTTCCGATACAACTCGTCTAGACGTGCCATTGAACCTATGACAATACACCCATCCCCATTTACATTTTGATTACACAGGTGCCAGGCGAATACGTGTGAAACACAGATGGCTCGTCTTAATTTTCAACGATTTTCACAGTTCATGCGACACATTACATATATTAATACGTGAAGACAAAAACTTTGTATCCCTTTTTATGAAAATTGCGCGGACGGAGAAGTATGTTTCCCACACTTATTGAGAATATAGAGAAGGAGTTAAGGTTGCTATTTTTTTTATTATGGATAAAAAAATAAAACAAAAAAAAAAGTTACACACACTACCATGTATTTGTCACATTTTAGGAAAATATTCTTGATTACGAATTAGCAGTTCATTTAGTTCGTCAAGTTTCCACAGATCATTTATGCCGCATATCATCCGCCCCTAGCATTAATTTCCGTTTTCATTGTTTCCCGAGAGTTATGACATGTCCTTTTACAAAGGTAAGGTTTGAAATATTTAAGGTCTCGCATGTTGCCACGATAGACAGTGACTACTTAAGATAAGACATACCGTAATCCAGGTAATAAATTAACATTCATAATTCGTAATGCAAGCTGATCTAAAAGAGCATTGCCTTCATTACAAATTGCACCTGCCCGCACCATTTTGTGCAGGTGTATTTTGACAGTAAAAGTGTTATCAAACTATTTATGAAGTACATAATATACTTTGTGTTATTTAAGTTCAGTATTATTTGTATCATCGTTGTTGTATTTGTGTAATTACTGGTGGTAGGATGTCTTGAGGCTGCACGAGTAGGTATACCCTGCCTTTTTCTGCTGTGAAGCAGTAATGCGTTTTGGTTTGAAGGGCGAGGCAACCGTTGTACTGTTAAAAGTGAGACCTTTGAACTCATTGCTCCGGTAACAACTTAACACCAGGTGGGCCGCGAGCTCGTCCACCCATCTTAGTAATAAAAAAAAATTTAATTTGGCTCTAGTGACATTGGTTTGTCGACAATTAATCGGGAGAAACGAATTAGCGACTCCTCCCTCATCGATGTATTGCTATTATTCGTCCACGGTAGTAATAGCTAGCCTGTTCTCTTATCCAACTGCCTTATATTTTATCTTAAGTACCAGTGGAAGGGAACGTTAAGAGTACGCACGATTCGGCCTTTCGCTGTATGTCAATTTAGTGGCCAAGCTTGAAGGTCAATGAATACACTTTTTTTGTCAGGAGGAAATCGCCGGACTTCCACCCTCCACTGGGGATGGCCGGTCGGGGTATGTCGGAGTTGAACCGACTAAAACCTCGCTCAACAACCCACGTCCGAACCTCGCATGAGACAGAACTCATGGGGAGAGTGAATCGTTTAGTGCGGAGCAGATCTCTCTCTCTCCTATCGCCCTCCCCCAATTAATATAAATAGTACTTTTTTCAGATCTATGAGATACAGAAACTATTTTAAATCACGTCCACCGTGAATTTTTATGTTCAACTCAGATAATAAATCAAGGGAGTAAATATTGAAGCACTCGTGTACATTACAATAATATAACTATGTATGTAAAAAGTTCACAATTTATAAATGCAATTCGAATTTGTTTCTACCGACTGCTTTTTTATCTTTATGATTTTGCTTTTATGCCAGCTTAAGTTACAGCCTGCCCTAGGTTAGATTATGCCAGTTGTTGCATTGCATTGCATTACAAAAAGTTTAAGAACAAATTCAGTGATACAATTATCCAATTAGCAATACTTGTCTCTATCTACATGTATACATATTAAATAAGATAGAGTATTGGACAGGCGTTGTTAACAATGTAACCTACCTCATTCGATGCGAAGGCGAACATTTCGAATTTCTGTTTAAAAATCTGATCACGTTTAGGAGATTAGAAGGGTAAGAAACGGTCAACGGGTAAAGAATGGGACATACGAGTTTCCCTAGTTATATTGAAACTTTTAGTAGGCAAAGGTTCTCAGTTACTGGCAGTTATACGTAGTAATTTAGAGTATAATGGTACTAAAAAATAAAATATGCAGTATACATTTTGCTTCAGCTAAAAAGAGAACGATAAAACACAAAGGTAAACAGCCATATTAATCGCTGGTCTTTAGCATTATACTATTTATTTGCAGCTGTGCATTCGCATAAAGATACGGTCGTAAACCCATGCAGTATATAGACTTTGCAGCTGTCCGTGAACGATAGTGATCACATATTATATTAAACACGCTTTTTCTGCGGCTTTAATAAATAGTCGGAAATTTAACATGTTTATTGAAGAAATAAATTACTTTAGTTGACAAAATCCCGAGAACCAAGCATTTGAAATTATTGGAGACACAGGGGAAATGCTCTTTGTTAGTTTAGAATTTCAACGGCACACGCGAGCTTTGACGTCATTCCTGCGTTCTATACATCTATAACTTGCCTTATTGATAAACAGATTTAAATTTTGTTTTTGTTGAGCACTAGTTACGTTTATAATATTTAAGTTTTTTTTATTGCTTAGATGGGTGGACGAGCTCACAGCCCATCTGGTGTTAAATGGTTACTGGAGCCCATATACATCTACAACGTGAATGCGCCACCCACCTTGAGATATAAGTTCTAAAGTCTCAAGTATAGTTACAACGGCTGCCCCACCCTTCAAACCGAAACGTATTACTGCTTTACGGCAGAAATAGGCAGGGTGGTGTGCTACCTACCCGTGCGAACTCACAAGAGATCCTAGCACCAGTAAATTGCAGGCTTTTTAAAGATTTATAAATACGTTGGCGCGTTCATATACTGTCATGTACTACCAAGTAATTTCCATATAGCAAAATCACCCAAGAAAACCACGCTTTGTTAGATGATTTCATCCGAAATACGTCCGAGATTCGACTGACGGATGTAAACTAAATGCAAACTAAAGAAACAAGCGGTCATGTTTACATATTGGTCGCACGTTCACTCTAAATTAATAATCGCTTCTGGGAATCACTCTTTCCTCAAAAGTTGGTAGGGCATAAATGTTTCATTCTTAATTTTGCAGAATGCGGGCGCGTTATCAAACTTTCATTACCGTATTACCGAAAGCGGTTTCGATAAAAACAAAAATGAGAGGCCATTTACAGTTGATGCTTAAAGATGACGTCTTCTCGCATTAAAATTATATTATAATTTAAAAACTTACTATTTTAGAGGAAATTGTTTTAAAGGTTGAACATGTGATATTTTTAATATTAATCATCTTTGCAACATTATTTTTTTTACCAGATACATTATCTGTCTTTTAAAGTAAGATAAAATTATGTATTTATTTTGTTAATAGTAATCAAAATATAGGTAAACTAAAAAAAAAAAACTAAATGTAAACTACGCTCTTTTGACAGTTTTTATGAGAAAAATACTAGTGATACCAAATTATTCCGCACATTAACTCAATTTCGAATATTTTTGGAAATTGTACACTTTTAATGCGAAATGAACGTCATTCACTCAGACAAAACTGACGTTATTTGCAAAAATCAATTTGTACATCAAGTAATTTTATTTGTTAGCCGACGCGACGTGCCGCTTACGCTGCGCCGAATTACTTTGTTTATTTACAAGGAATGTAAAGCTCAATGTTATTTTCTACTTACTTGTTTATATTGAAGCCGAAACGGACGGCGTTTCAGGAACTATTTAACCTGTAACAAAAACAAAAAACAATGTTATCGTAAAATTAACTACCCGTGTTATGTCGAAACTGGTAGATTCTTCGCATTTCGGTTCCAACTTTGAAATTGCTCTTGTATTTTTTTATAGTTTCGTGACGCGTTCGCGTGATCGTCCGCTGGTTGCTTTGCACGAACTAGTTGTGTTCTCATGTTAAATTTCAAGATTTTTTTCTAGTGAATATTCGTTACATAATAAACCTTTGGTTTGCAGAAAATAATTAGACGACGCCCCATCTTAGTGAAACTATTACATAACTCGTAAATACTAGCGATTATAGTAGTAGTTAATTGTGTCCTCAGTAATGTATCTGTCTAGTTCTACTATTCAATTTAAGCCCCTGTTGTTTTATAATTCTGTAACGACATATGCTTGGAATATTCGAACCAATGTTGTAGCGGACGGTTTCTTGTTTAGGTATATTTTGGGTTTGTGAGGAGGAAGCTTTACAATAAAAAAATTTGGATGCACATCTCGTAATTGATGGCTTATTATTGACAACCTTAAAAAAAAAAAAAAAAAAAAATTAAAATATAAATGACAATTGCAACTAAACTTTTTACTGGTGTTCCGAACAAATTTAGGTATTGGGTATTTTGAAGTAATTCCGTTGTAGAAAAATTACTGCGTGGAACGATGTTTGAAAATAATCAATACTAATTAATGACTTACGGTGTCCACTCACAGTCAAGAGCGCAAAATAGGAGTTCCAAACAGATCGAATGGTAGTGTGTGTTTTGACGTGTCCACGGTTAAGTCAGAATACCAATATAACTTTGCTGGACGGTGAGTTTCTAGTTATCTCCGATCGCGGCAAAACAAATAATTGTGAAGTAAAGATGACTTGAAGCCCGAGGGTCTTTCCAGTTTCATGATAGGTAGGCGAGCACGGGCTCAGCCAGGAGGGGTGGGATTTGGTAACAGCTACTTGAGCGCCTCCAAAGAAGACCTAACAACTCAAGAGCAGCTGCTTCGCGAATGAATCTACTACCGGATCAGAATCGCGACCCGCTGAGAAGATTCGGCGAGAAACTCAGCGGGCTGATGCATGGGTGAGGTTTCACGTCGAACTCTTTGGCGAGTTCGACGAGGACGACTACCAAAGTGCCCAAGCCTGCTGCTAGTGTTAGAGAGCTGAAGGCGTCTAATGCAACAGTTATAGTATTTGATGGATCCGTAAAGACTCATTCAAAATTACCTTCAATTAACATAGAGCTAACATGATAAGAAAAAAAAACTTGATGTACCGAAATAATTCATGACCAAATTTAATGACGAAACGTAATTACTAGTTTGTTATAAGAACAAAGCGCTTTTATAAGTAATCATTAGTGACAAATAATAAGAGGAATAACCGCATTTCATGCACTTTTATCATTTAGTTCTAAAATGACTCAACATTAACCTAATTCTGATGGAATGAACATACTAAACTTATTTTTAAAGCTGTATGTATGTTCTTCGTGGGCAATAAATTTTATTAAAGTACTTACTAACTAATAGTAAATAATTTATTGAAGTTGTGTTCTTCATGGGCACGTATAAAACAATCAACATAATAAAATCTTAATCGATACCATATTGCAGACAAACATTCGTGAAATATTGCCTCATAAAAAGTAAGCACGTGTTCATAAAACGTAGCACATAAGTACGGTGCGGCGACGTACGTACATATATGGGATGAAATAAGTTTACAGCAGCGATGAGCGTTCAGATTCAAAATGGTTGCGAGTAAATTAACATCGTCCAACTAGGCCGCGACCTATACGGGGACGGTTTAAACGAACCGAAAAGCCTCAGAACTCCGCTTATCGCACACTCGTAACGATTTAAAACATTCGCATATTCATTTCGAAACTTTCGCAATACCATTTGGTATTCAGAAGCCTGAAAGGAAAAGCTTCCTCGGCTTTTTGCGTTTACCGTTAACACGAGCTTCGTTCATTTTATGGCTTCACCTCATTTTGAACTCTATCGGAAGTCCTATTTTATAATAAAATTTTCGTTTGTTTGTAATCTTATATTGTATCTTATACATATAAATAAAATTGGAGTGTCTGTTTGTAATATTGAAATAACTGCTTTTTACTATATGCGTATGAATATATATACGGTACATACACCAAAATAACATTTTCTACAATTTTTGTCTGTCTGTTTGTTCCGGCTAATCTCTGCAACGGCTGGACCGATTTTGATGAGGCTTTCACTAATAGGTAGCTGATGATATAAGGAGTAACTTAGGCTACTTTTTTTAGACTAGCTTGGCCCCGCGGCGTCACCCGCAGTTATTGTCGTACAGCGCGCAACATGGTGGGCTTCGCCTATCATAATAAAATTTAATGTTTCCGAAGCGAAGCGAGGGCGGGTCGCTAGTACAATATATGTATAATTATAATAAGAAGACTATGACCCTGCTGCCGACATGCTGTTGAATTTTGTTTATGAATGCTATCGTTTAAACAAAATTAATTTATATCACTACATAGTATACTTAAAACAAAGTCGCTTTCTCTGTTCCTATAACCCTATGTACGCTTAAATCTTTAAAACTACACAACGGATTTTGATGCGGTTTTTTTTAATAAATAGAGTGATTGAAGACGAAGGTTTATATGTATAATAACATCCATTAAATAGTGGATAAATCAATAATAAATGAGTTTCCAAAGCGAAGCGAGGGCGGGTCGCTAGTAAAGTATAAAGTTATAATGTAAAGAATTAAGCAAAAACTTTAGGCATTTATTGTTTTGATCCGTTTAAAATTTTTTTATCGCCACGAATACTAAGACAAGTTTCACATTATCTTGTTCAAGTATTAAAATTATTGACGTAATTTTCTAACATTTTATTCAAGGTTATTAGATCCAAGAAGCTCATGCCATGTTATCTTGTGAGTCATTGTTTGGTTAGCCAGTCATTAAGACACAATTTGCATCTATACATAAGTATGTAAGTATGTACATACAAAAAGACTACTTATGCTAATTATATTTTCGTACATACACAAGACCCGCACGCCCATACAAAAGGGTTCAAAGTATATATAACTGAAGTTATTTAGTTATGTTCAAATAACTCTCAGACACAGCCCACTGAGTTTCTCGCCGGATCTTCTCAGTGGGTCGCGTTTCCGATCCGGTGGTAGATTCTGCGAAGCACGGCTCTTGCTAGGGTTCGTGTTAGCAACATCGTCAGGTTTGAGCCCCGTGAGCTCACCTACTAAAGTTCGGGTTACGCTGACATAGCCGCTAGGGCTATCAGCTTAGGTAGGAAAAAAAANATTAACTCTCAGACACAGCCCACTGAGTTTCTCGCCGGATCTTCTCAGTGGGTCGCGTTTCCGATCCGGTGGTAGATTCTGCGAAGCACGGCTCTTGCTAGGGTTCGTGTTAGCAACATCGTCAGGTTTGAGCCCCGTGAGCTCACCTACTAAAGTTCGGGTTACGCTGACATAGCCGCTAGGGCTATCAGCTTAGGTAGGAAAAAAAAAAATATATGTTCAAAGTCAATAAACATTCGTTTTCCAAATAAAAATAAAGTACAAATCGTCAACACAATATCAATATAACAATACAAACCAATAGGAATTTTTATTTTGTTCGTATCGATTAAATTGGCTCGTAAATTTGGTATCGACGCAACAGCTGTTACCGAAATTAATCTAAGGGCCAATTTAAAAGAAATTGAAATGTGAGCGGTATCGACACCTGCACTACTTTAGGTCGAGTGTTTAACACCAAATAGAACGATTATAAGGTACTTTATTTTCTTGTATTTCGGGCTCATGGCCAATTTTCTGTTGAAAGCATACCGAAGATCCGATGCTCATGGAAGCCGCCACAAATATCGTCACTCATCTTCATACACTACTCATCTTTACTGGTGGTAGGATCTCTTGTGAGTCCGCGCAGGTAGGTACCACCGCCCTGCCTATTTCTGCCATGAAGCAGTAATGCGTTTCGGTCTGAAGGGTAGAGCAGCCGTTGTAACTCTACTGAGATCTTAGAACTTATATCTCAAGGTGGGTGGCGCATTTACGTTGTAGATGTCTATGGGCTCCAGTAACCATTTAACACCAGGTGGGCTGTGAGCTCGACCACTCATCTAAGCAATAAATAAAAACTTGCCTTTAAGATCTCGATTACAATAGATTAACGACTACCTTATATTTCAAACCGGAAAGTTAAATTGCTTTGCGTTAAAACAATTACGAGAGACACAAAGAGGCTAGACTAATAAACAAAACAACTTGAATCGAGTACACGACTTAAAGTTTAGTTTACTTTCAAAACTAAGATACATAAAAGGTACGGCAATGATAACTTATATTATGTAGAACGTGACATGTTCTAAAATAGGTCAATAATTTACTATAATACTACAAGGGTAGATTACACTTTATTACATATCAGAACTTAATTTACATTGAATCAATAGGCAGTTATCATTACAGATATTACTAATTAAACTCTATTGACTTTAAGTACTCCGAAATCGATATAATATCATACTATTACTAGACTTGTCCGGTTTTATAATTTCAACGGACCATAGATAATATCGACGCTTCAAAGGCAAACGTGACTAAGCGACAATAACTGTTTTATACATAAACTAGCGACCCGCCCTCGCTTTGCTTCGGAAACATTAAAACACACATGAAACCAAAAAAATAAAATAAAAAAATAAATAAAAAAGTAGCCTATGTTCATCAGGGACAATGTCGGCTTCTAATGGAAAAAGAATTTTTCAAATCGGTCCAGTAGTTTCGGAGCCTATTCGAAACAAACAAACAAACAAATCTTTCCTCTTTATAATATTAAGTATAGATATAGGCAATAACCATATTCGATGCGCAAAAAAAAAATATATTTCTAGGTCTCTTAAAATCATTTCAATCCTACAGCTAGATTCGTTAAAATAGATTTTTTTTCAGGTATTTCCACTTTAAATTAGTCTACTGTAA